ATATTTATACATACTCTTGAAGTTAAATACATTTTTTATAATTAAAGTAATGGTATAATCGGTATTTCGCATGTAAGAGGTCTACGAGACAATATATGGGACTGTCAACATACTTCTTTGCCTTATACGAGTTGAGATTGAAGTCGAAAAGGGGATACCTAGTATCATGTTTATACGACGGATATTTGAAGCTAGAAGTTCCCTACATAGAATTGTATATTATTTTTAGAGTAAGATATTTTAGTATACATATTTGTTGAAAAAATACGGTTGCCTAAGCATTGATATGTAGCTTTTTGTTCATTTAATTATTATACTACTAGTATGTTTAGTTATAATTTTTTTGGCATGCAGTTGTCCATAAATTAGCACCTTGTATTGAGCCAGTGAATTTCGAGTGTGTAATCTCCAGATCGTTAGGAACATTTGGGTTTAGATGTTGGGCCCATTGGGCCGAATGATCCTTGAAGTTTATCACGTGGTCAGTTGGTTGTATGATTTAAGGTTGGCGATGGGTACTTCCACTTGGAGCTGTCTAACAAAATAGGCAGTAAGCTCGGCTCAAACACGTTGAGTTTGAGCTTGTTTTAATCAACGAGACGAGACAAGAGGAGTTCCGCTTGTAAAGATTGAAATATATTTTCTTCTATGATTTTTATATAGCTCGACTCATTAATATTTAATTTGGCTCATTAATATTGATAAACGAGTTAAACTCATGCTTGTTTAATTAACAAGCTCGACTCTGCTCGAATACCAAGAGTTTGACCTCGGTTCGACTCGTTTACACCACGACTTCAAATAAGGAAAGTGTGGTCTTTTAATTTCTTTTCAGAAGAAAAATGTCACTATTGTTTATTTAACAAAGAAAGATCGAGTAAGAGCAACTCCAACGCTGCTCTATTTCTCTCCTTTTCCACTATTGTAGCGCCAAAATAAAGTCCAACCCTGCGCTAATTGTCTGCGTTACTTTGGAGATTGCAACAGTGTTGCGCCAGATGTGGCGCAACACTGTTGCATCTCTACAATTTTTTTTTTCTTTCTTTTTGTATATTGTAATGTAATATTAAGGATAAATTTTTATATAATGTGTATTAGTTAATGTACTTTTTATGCTAACTAATTTATAATTTTGTGTAATGTATTTTTTATGTTAAATAATCTATAACTTTGTGTAATATATTTATTATGCTTAATAATTTTGTGTTTTTTTTATTTACATATTATAACTTTGTGTAACGTATTTTTTATTCTAAACATATTTTTATTATTTGGGTAATAAACATTTATATAAGATTAAATATACATATATATACCAATTAATTTGAAATAAAAAATAAATAAAAAAATAATATATTTGATGTAAAGTAAAATGTAGAGATAAGGGCTGGAGAAGAATGTTTAACTCTACTCTAAAGTAGAGTAAAATCCGCGCTAGAGTAGAGCTAAGGGCTGGAGATGGTCTAAATAAGTTCTCTAATAATCAATAACTAATCTTTCTGTTTTATTTCGGCACCATAATGCACGGTAAATAAATATAAAAACCACTCAGTTGATCGGAAAAAAGTTGGACAAATAGACAATATTTATACATAAGTTTTCACTATTCAAATATTTACAAGAATGGTAATTATCTTTTCATTGAAAGTTTTATAAACAAGTAAAAAAACAACATCCATTTACAATTATATCTCTTTTATTTTATCGCACTATACGTTTATAAACACAAAATGTTAAATCTCTCTCCTCAAAATGTCAGTCCTTAACTTATTTGTTAGTTTCTTTCATATCTTTATTATAGGGGAAAAAGTCCGAAAAATTAGTCTTTAATCTTTATTTCCAACTGTTTTTTCGAAGTGATAATTGGAGTTGTCTGCTAGCTATTTTCACCCAAGCCACTTTCCCGTCCAGAATCAGTCTGAATTTGTACATAAATTGTGTCATACATTAAAATATATTATATTGCATATTGATTTTTAAAAAATAAACAAAATAGAGAATTAATTGTTGTCATAGTAGACTTTTAGGGTACAATTTGATACAAGATTTATTCGGAAAAACCCCTTATATATAATTCTTGAATGTGCTGAGCTTAGTGGTAGACTGACATGTTTCGGTATCTTATATGGCAAAATTTTATACTTATTCTTTGGCTAGGATAGATTTTAATTTACTTTCAATCTAAAAATAATTAAATTTTGGATTATCCATAAATATATTGATTAATATCATTTTATGTTATAATCATTGAATTATAATTGTATTTTAAAAGTTAACTAGTGCATAGCCCGTGCGATGCACGTGATACATATATTAAATGAGTTATTTCTATAGAGCTTGTACGTTTAGAAAAAAAATACAATAAGGTTGGATCATTAATTTTCCACTTCTTTCAATCAGTTATGTTTAAATGTGAATATTCGATGATAAATCAATTCAAAAACTGAGAAATGCTTGAAAAGTTAATCAAATATTCATTTTTTTAAGTAAGTTGCTTATTAAAAAGAATAATTCTAAGAAAATATAGATAACAAATTCATATAATATGAGATTTCTAAAATTATTTGTGGTAATCCAAAATGGAAAGAGAAAACCCAAAAAGAAAAAATAATTAAATTGTTTATTTACTTGTACATGTAAATATCTTATTCTTGAGTGCACTGCGCACAAAAGTCATGAGTCGAGAATATCAGCATCCGTAACTCCGGATAGTGTTAAAAATAATAATGTTATGAAAATGTTTTTGAAGCATTGTACAATTGTTGAAATATATTATCGAATATTCATATTTCTAAATTTTTGTTTGTAATTTTATAATTATTTAATTAAAAGTATAGTAAAACGTGTTAATTACAATGATTTCATGAATAAAATTATTTTTTGTAATTTTATAATAATTTAATATTATAAAGAAGGTAAAAGAATACCAATTAAAAATAACATATCACAAAATAAAAGCAATTACAAATATTTTCTAAATTTATTTTAATGTATAATCTATCCTTATTCATAATTAAAATTGTTTATAATTAGTTATAATAAATAATTATATATATTCATGATCTTGTCTTAGATTTACTTAATAATATATTTATATTAATTAATATATGTATAATAATTTATATAACAAAAGGAGAGCGTAACAATATATAAAAAAAAAATTCAAAACTAGTTTCACAAGTTTTCTGCCATGCCACATGTGATAAGGCTGCCAGCATGTCAAGAAAAATGCCACATATGCACCACATGGCTTATCGGGCCTGTCAGACCCGAAATCGCATCAAAAGTCCTATTTTTGATTACTTTTTGAAAATTGTGAGGCTATTTGTGATAATCGCTTTCTTGCGGGACAAAAAATGACACCCACCTCAACTTGTGGAACTAATTTTGAATTTTTCCCTTTTATATTATTGTAATATAATATTTAATGGTGTGATAGATCTAAATTGTCTATTTTTAACGAGTCGAACAATATTTGCCACACTCATTGCAATCGGCATATGTAAATAAAATAAAACCAATTATGATGATTTTTGCCACACACAACACGTTACGCGGCCACAAATTTCCTCTCTAATATATGTTATATTATACATCAAAAGAGATGTTCTTATACGAAAAATGTTCACCATTGGCTAGATTATAAAATAATTTTCACTCAAACGGCCAAAATGTATGACCAAAGTGGAGTTTAATTTAATCTCTGTCATAGGACTAGACTTTCGTCTAATTGGTTCCTAAAGTTGAATAAGAATACAAATTTATGTAATAACTTAATTAGAGTGTGAATGGGTTTCAAGTTAACATACTCTTACATGCAGCTCAATTTATAATGAACATTATCCATTAACACAAATGTAAGACCGGCAACCTCATTTATACTTTTATAATAAAAATGCATACTTAAAATATTAAAATATAAACTTTTATATCTATGTTTTTTTAAGTACGTCATTTAAATTTTAAAATATATATGCATATATATTAAAAAAGTATAATTGACTAACCATAGACCGAGCTAACAATAATCTTACTGACCCAATAAACTGACATAAGTATAATGGTATATTGGAGGGTGTGTATAGGGATATGTTAATTACATATCAAATAAGTGTACTTTTTGTTATTGTGTATATTTGTGTATTTATCATATTAGCCTTATTATCTATAGCCCTAATTTTGTATATATATTCTTCGTTAATAAAGAGTTGTATCATCTGATTGAGATGATCTTTCCCACAAATTACATCTTGTCTCTCTCGTATCATGGTACCAGAGCCTGATTTTTTTCATCACAAATTTTTTCCTGTCAAATCTCAATGCCTTCGTCACATCGGCTTCCTCCCAAATATTGTATCTGTTTTTCATCTTCTCTAAAATCTAATCCCAATTTTTATTTGTAAAAAAGAA